TACCCCAGCTGGTTCAATTTATCTATTGATTGTTATACACCACTACCTTGCATAACAATGAAAATGATTTAAAATGGAAAATTCTATATACATAAGAAATAAAATCAATTCCTCCGGAATAAGAGAAACTATGGTTTTAAGGAAAAGGAAAATACCGCTGCAGATGGACTGGAGTCATCTTCCAGAAATGCTGGGAATTTGATTCCAGTTTTTGGTTCAATTGGATCTTCTTGAAATATAGTACTAGGCACAGAAGGACAAGCACAACTTAAGCCTTTTCCTTCTACATAAGGCTGATCAACAAGTCTTCTGATATCACTGTCAATGTTTCGCGATGCGATTGACTCGGTAAGCATCATTGGTGATCTTGTTCATTCAAAAAAGGAAATCATCAGTTAACTAGAGACAACTATACAACAGAAAGAAACGAATAAGGAGAGTGCATCACAAATACAAATAAACTGTATTGGAGCATGGTCCTCACATATTTTCAAGTGGTGGTACGATAGCAGCAGCGCCAGCTAGAGTAAGAAGATTGGAGGCATGTTGCTGCTCATTCAATAGTCGCCCAATCGTTCCACTTGCAAGCCTAGCTAAAATTAGTTGTATTGCTTGCTCTTGTCTCACTAGAAAGCTGAACTGCAGTCTAGTCAAGTTTTGCATGTGGGAGCCCACTTGGTTGAAACGCAACTGACAAGATCTAGAACTCTTCGCTGCTACAGCTGCCAGCCAGCGCAAAATCTTAGGATCAGATGGTCTAGAAAACCAGAAATAGAGAGCTCGGGAAAGCTTGTTGAGGCGATTGAAAGCTCCATGGACCATTACATTTCCAGAAGAACAAATCTTCCTATGATATCTTAAAGAAGTACCCAGCACTGTACCGGCTTGTGAAAACAAATTCAATCCAAGATCATGAGACGTTGGAAACTCTGGTTGGAACTTGTATGGGTATCCCCTGTCTATATCAAGAGTGGATAGAATCAACTGATTGGGCTTCATTGTGAAATATCCTTCAAAAATACAGGTTTCTGAATGTAGGAGGTCTTTATATCAAGGTTGGGAATGTATGACAAGGATATTGAATGATCTGCCAATTGGAACAAAGTAAGCTGAATCAGATAAACAAGTTTTTACAGTAAGAAGGTACAAGGAAATGTCGCACATCAGGTCAAACAAAATATTGCACACAAGTTGCTGGACATAAAGCTGTAAAAACGAATTACAATTCAACCTAGCTCTTGCTACTTTTCAGACCAGTCAACGATTAATAGGCTATATATATAATAAAAAGATTTGAAGGACACCAACTTGAATTCTGGCATGGTTGATTTGCAACATAGTCTCTCTATCTAAACAGGCCTTAACAATTAAAGCCAGAATTTTTTTTAAAAAAAAATCCCTTTTGTTAGAAACTAATCACACGAACCTATCACCTAAACAAAATGTGTGTTTGCATGTTATCAAGTATGTATACATTTTTTTACGAACATAATGACAATTCAATCTGAATTACTGAGTACCTGCCTGCGTGACAGCCTGACATCTGATCTGCAGCTGCAGTTGCTAGGATTGCATTTTTTGTGGGACATTTTTCAAACTCTAGGATTGCAATATTTTTGGGACGGAGGGAGTACGCTTCAAGCCGACAATTATGCCAGCCAAGCAAATATGTTTCATCTGCGACCAACCACCCTGCCACCTCAAGATTCCAACGTGGCTCTGATGACCATCAATCCTGCCTTAAAGCATGCGATTTCCTCACCGCAGATCAACGACACGCCACTAAAACCACCCGCATTCACATCTCCCCGATCACAAATCGAACAGCACCGAAGGAAAAGCTCGAGCGATCACCAAACCAACCTGTCGGCTCCAAATCGGCCGGAGGGGAGACCGCGGCAAGAGCAGGCGAAGGAGGAGAAGGGGCAGGAACGGACTACCGCCTACGATCCACGCCTGGCTTGCTCGATCCCTCGGCGAACCGGATTGTTGCGGATTCGGGCGCCGGACTAATCGACGCAGACCGAACCCAAATCGGGAGGAAAATGGGGAGGCGAAAAGGAACTGCTCTCCGGGATTTCCTTTGCCTCCCCAAGTCCGATTGCGCCCGCCGGCTGGCTCGCCGCGCCCTCGCCTCCCGTCCCGTGGGGTGAGAGGCGAAGAACGCGTGCAAGTGCTCCGACGTTTGCTTCCTCCTCCTCTACCCCCTAGCCTAGCCTAATGAGACAAGGTGAATGAAATAGGGCCCGGTAGCTTCCCTTCTTTAACTTTCCGCGGGCGGCCACACAAAAAATCCTATTTTTATATACAAGTCCTCCTCTCGTTCGAGTCTGGATCCGTTTCGGACAAGAGGAAACAGTAGGGGGGCAAGAGTATTAGCTCCAGACCGTTCCGAGAAGGTGCTGGGGCTGGACCGGGAACCGCGGGATGATCGGACGGCCACCAGAGGCTGAGCGACTGTGGGTTGGACGGCCGGACGGTTGATGTGACGTGTCCGGGGAATTTTCTCGCGCGTCGACCGCGGAGAGAAACACGGCTGAAACACGTTTAAAATGGACCGGTCTTTTGCTTCGACCACGTCGCCAGGTCCAAAGCTTTCGCCGGTAATTTGATTTGCCTCTGCTTTGACTTTTTGTTTTGGAAACACAAGACTAAGCATGTACCTACGCACATCCTGTCATTATGAAAACCTGCACATAGTTTAATGAAATGAAATTGATTACTGTTTTCCCTTCAATCAGTGCAGGCTTGCGACGGCTAGGAGAAGGAACGTCCTAGATTTCCAGTGGACTTTCTTGTAGGCAGCCACAGCCCTGGTTTGTCAGTTGTCACGCACAACTTCGACAGAGTCCTCCGAGCAATCAAGCTGGCCGTAGCCACGCATGTCATTGTCCAGGACCAGGACTGATCTGATTATATGTCACTTTACAATCAGTATATAAACTGATGAAGCGAGTGATCCAGATGATTCGTCTCGGAATAAATCGTTTGCTTACAAAGACCGTGTCAACGTGTCACTCGAAGAGCGCATTTTGTCCCCCGAGGAACAACGTGTCCTGCCAGCACACTAGCTCAGCCCATTGAACAATTTCGGCCCGCTCAACTAGCCAGAAAACCCCACTCGGGCCCTCGTGTGCTGCTGGCCTAGTGCCTCGGCCCCCTAGCGGCCCGATACAAACAGTGAACCACCTGACAAGGCAGGCGAGCCCTGTTGCTCTATGCGGAACCGAGTCCAGCAACCCAGGCAGGTAAAGCGAATCAGACCCACGGCCGCAGCAGGCCCGCAGCGCGTCGGAAAAAGGAGACGAGACGATGGAGGCACGGAGGAACCAACGCGTCTCAGTCTCGCCCGTCATCGATGCCGGCGGAGCAGCTCCAAGTCTCCAAGGCTGGCAACGATTGCCGATTGGCCGGCCTGTGCCCATCTCGTTCGGCCGGAATCCATCTGGCAACGAACGCACTCAGTTGCAAGCCTCCGTCCGATGATTGACCGATCGACGTCGTGTGCGCTGTGTAGACTGTAGAGTGCTCGTAGGTCCAAAAGGGGCGGAGCTCCGTCGAGTCCGTCCGGTACTCATCTCATCTGAGACCCCGTGGTCGGCCACAGAAACCGGGGAAACAAGGCCAGGCCACGCTTTTCCATGGACGTCTTCTTGGTTGGGTCCATATCATTGTTGGTTCTTTCTTCGTCCAACCAGAGCCGGGCTGGCAAGCATTCCGGGTCGAGACGACCGTGTATCCACTAGTGCTGGTGCCTGTGTCATGTCTTTTTTTTAGGATGATTCTTCATCAGTTCATTCAGGTATGGATGGGATGGTTTAAAGTTCCGGCGCACTCCTACCAGGGCCTTGTTTAGATTCCCAAGTTTTTTCACTCTCTTTCCATCACATCAAATTTTTGGACACATGCATGGAGTATTAAATGTAGATAAAAAAATAACTAATTACACAGTTTGATTGTAAATTACGAAACGAATCTTTTGAGCCTAGTTAGGCCATGATTGGACAATAATTATCAAATACAAACGAAAGTGCTATACTGCCAAATACTGATTCCTAACCGCGAACTAAACAAGGCCAGAAAGATGCTCATCATTTAGTACAAACTTATTAATTTACAGACTTCAACTTAGATTTTGCTTTTATACCAACTTACAAACATGTTGTGGAGCCGCAATGACTTTGAAAACGCAGCAGGAATGAACGGATTGGATGTTAATGTGGAAAGAATGAAGGCAGCGAAGAGCAAACCCCCTCTTTCAGTGACTTGTCTTTTGAAAACACTTCCGTCTGTGAAGGTCAGCCCACTAGATCGAGTAGACTAACCACACTTGCAATTGACCGGTGAGAACAGAGAAGACCCAGCACCACAAATGCACAGTCAACGCCCTCTAGTTTAGGTGCATTCACAGTTCACCCTCCAGATCGATCGCCCGGCCGGCAGCCACAACGGCGAGCCGGTGAGAACATAGAAGACCCAGCACAACAGGACAGCGCACCTGCTCCCCACAGGACCAGCAATCAGCACAGGCCGATGGGTCCGGTACACGAGGGCCCCCTTGACCCGGACCGGGAGCCAGATCTCCCGTCCCGTCCCTATGCGGCCACGCCCATTCCGATTTCGGGAGTCGGGACCGGGAGTAGCCTAGCCGTGCGTCCTTGAAGAGTTGAAGTCAACACGCGCGCGCGGTCCCCGGTCAGGAATTCAGGATGGGTGCTATGCTAAGGCGCATGACGGCAGGGCCCGCCCTCGTGGGGAAGCTTCAGTGGCGGCACGTGAGGCCGGACGGACTCGGACCAGCGCGCTGCCCTGCCCATGACTCGGCTCCTCGCGGCCTCGCCCCGCCTTCGGCGTGCGCAGCAGCAGCCAGCAGAGAGACACAGACGCGGCACGGGGCACCTGCGGCGATGGGGCCGGGCTGCGCGCGCTCGATCCCGTCCCACATGGCCACGTCCGTGTCATCGCTAGGCGCCGGGGACGGACGCCTGATCGCTGTTACATCACAACCGCGTGGTGGTGGGGTGGGGGCTCTGTTCTTCATCTTGGTCCGGTGTCCGCGCGGCTGCATGTGCGTGCGCGTTTGCCTTTGCGTTTTCTGTGGTCTGCACGACTGCACCGCGTGCATTAGTCTCACAGCACGTGCGAGAGTCACTCTATCAAGTATCAGCTCCTCTTATCTTTTGGCCGAAACATTGGTACACGCAAAAAGAGTGTCACCACTCGCCCATACGTGCCAATGCTGTCGTTGTCGCACACATTGGGCGTCATGTCACGATCTCTTTGTTAGTGGTGGGGCCTGAAACTTTGATATGTGGGCCGGGGACTACTTATAAAGTTAATAATGCTTCAAAGAGTACCCCCAGAAAAATAAAAGGTCAATTCATTTACTCATGAGTATCTTTTGGGCTGAATTTATGTAATAATTTCTGTTAAACAGCAAGCGATGCCAAGGGATTACACGCAAGCCATGTGGGGCCTGTTTGGGAGGGTGGCCCGACGGCCGACTGCGCGCCGTGGGCTGCAACTTCCCTGTTTGGCGCACCTGGCCCAGCCTCGGAGCCTGCGCCGCACGGACCTTAAAGCAGGTTGGGCCAGGCACCAGGAAAATGAAACCCCCTTCGTTTTTTCACAACCCAGCTCCTTTCAGCACTCCGTGGCCTCGGTGAAACGATACGGTGACCGCCCGTCTCCTTCCCTCACCTTCCGCTTGGTCGAATCCTCTAGCTCCACCGCCACTACAGCAGTCGCGGCCTCCCTCCCCATCCCGTCGGCCATCGCCCCCGGAGCAATCGAGGCAGCCGGTAGGAGGCCTCGCGCGCTGGCAACGCCTTCCTCCCACACCACCTCCTCCTCCGCGCCGCCCCGGACCTCCTCCTCCCCCACGCCACCGCGCCCGCCACACCGTCGGCCACACCGTCGCTCCTTGCGTCCTTCGGCCTCTGGGCGTGGTCGCCAGGTGTGGCCGGCGCGCACATCCAGCCGCTACGAGGTACTCGAGGCGTATGCGCACCCAGGGCGCGTACCCGGCGGAGAAGAGGCCCTTGACAGCGAGCAAGTCAGGGACGTTGACGGCGAGGTGCCAGCCCTGGAGGTGCGCGGCGACGTCGGCGGCGAGGAGGAGCATGGAGAGCACGAGGGAGGTGCAGAGGAAGCCGTAGAACCTAGTGCACACAGCGGGGCTCTCCTCGTGCGACGCGGCGCCTGCGTCGGTGTCGGTTCGCCCCGCCGCCACCCACCTCCGCGCGGCGGCGGCGACGGACAGCGCAGCGGAGGCGGCGCCCATGAGCTTCCCCGCGGCGCGGTGCACCTTGAGCAGCAGCACCATCAAACGCCACCGCATCCGGCCGCCTAGGTCGCGGGTTCTCCATGGCCGCATAGGCTGCTGCCGTGGCCTCGCCGCCCCAATGCATCGCGGGAGGAGCTGTGCCCCTCCATGGACGCGTGGCACCACCGTGGCCATCACCGGCCACCAGCCAGCTGGAATCAGCCTCATCCTCGCCGCCGAGTGGTGTTCTTGTTTCTGCCCACCATGTGCTCGACAAAATGCCAATGACAAGAGGAAGGGAAGTTTTGGTGGGTAACGTTACCAAATTGCAGGACCAAGGTGGTCATATCTCTCTGTCCAGGAAACCAAACACGATCTAGAGTGGGCTCGGCTCTACTACAACACAACACCAAACACGTGAAGTTGCACCATGGGGATCAGACTTCGGCTGGCCGTAGCCAGGCTAGCCGCCCGGGCTGGCCAGGAACACCCTCCCAAGCAGGCCCGTTGATTCCTGGTAGGCCTTCCTCGCTACTGAAACAGATCGATTATGTGTCTGCACCCGGAAATTAAATATTGGAAAGAGATGACAAAATAGCTAGGCCACTCTTTAGTCGGAGTTTCATCAAAATGTCATCTATATTGTTCGCAAAAAAAAAGTGTCATCTATATTAATAAATTCACATAAGCATTTGGCAATGTTTTTAAGAAGAAATAGAAAAAAAAATGAATTTTATACGTCGATGTACTCCCTCTGTCCCAAATTCTGTCGCTTTTGGTTTTTGTGCCGCAAGTTTGACTCAATCGGTAGAAAATAAATGCAATATTTGTATCTTCAAATAAATTTATTAAAAAACTAGATTCAAAGATCTTTCCAATGATATCAATTATGTACCATAAATATTAATATTTTTTAATATATATTTTGTCAAAGTTGTTTTTCGGAAAACAAAAACGACCCATATTATGGGACTGAGGGAGTAACACTTTTGGCTTAGTTCCCCACTGTAGATGGGTCATAGAATTAAATGTCTATTTAGTTTGTAGTCCCTTTAGCGGTAGCACTTAATGCGCAATGATTTGTTTAAGCCAATGTTTCCGGGAGCCCAAAAGAAAAGGCAGCCCATTGTAAAATGCACTTCTTTCGCTCATATCTTAATACAAAGAAGTGTAGGGTGATAGGAACCCTCCCAAATCATCGCTCAAGAAAGTGCTACAATCACGTGAGAAAGAGTTTCGACTATGACAAAGACGAGCACACATTTGTCGAGGAATGATTGGGGAATAGTCGAGTACAAGAGGAAGGTGAAAGTAACAAAGCACCAGAAGCACAAGTGTCGAGCATCTAAATTGACTTTTCAAAGGTTCCAAGAACATTCAAATCTGCAGCCGGAATTCTTGGGAAGATAGGACAAAATAGCTACTCATCATTTCGTTCTAAATTATAGTCTATTTTAGTTTTCTTCTCTAATAAATCAGACATTTCTAACTTCAACTAGGGTTATACAAAATACATCAACATCTAATTAGTTTTATTAAATTTTCTATGCAATATATTCATAATGTATTTATTTGAATTTATAGATGCTAATATATATATATTTTGAAGAAAATTTGACTAAAGTTAAACATGACTTAGGATGAACCCATAAAACTAAAGACTTGTTGGTTGTACTCGTATTTACCTCAAGTCAATCCACGTGTATCAGAGTGGTACATACAGATTGAATAGCCAAACAGGATCTAAAGCGAACCATACTTTGGGAGAGACAAATATATGTGATCTCAATCATAGCACTACTCCAATAATGTGGTGGGAGAATTTTTTGCCCACTTTTGTCATTGGGAACAATTTACAACGTGGTGCTGAATGGATGCGCGATAAGTAAGCAATCCCCTTTATTTTCCACTCAGACAACTTTGCAACATGACATTCCACATTTCCTTTCTTGTATCAGAAGCTGAAACAGCGACCTTCTCTCTTTTTATCATACCGTTTTACCACTTTACTGCTGGCTGCATTTAACTTATGATTACCATGCATAAGCACTAAGTAGTGGAGTCAATCTATTCCAACATCCAACAGGTTACACTACCAGGCTTCTCCCCCACTTTTCTTTCTTTCTTTTCTACTCCTTTTGGAGAGAGAGAGAGAGAGAGAGAGAGAGAGAGAGGCAACTTCTTTGTTCTTTTTTTTAGAGATGAACGAGACAGAGGAACGGGCTCGTTGAAAGACTTCAACAACTGCAACTACTACTTGTACCCATCCGCGGGATTATGGAAATAACAATGACGACCAACTAAATTTTCTAACCTTTGGGCGTGTGAAAGATAAACCTGTTCCAGAAGGACATGTGAAACCAACTCCAATTCGGTCAGACGGCGTGTTTAGCTAATATAAATACTTGGCCATGGTGACGCGTATGTATCTTTTGAACCTTCCACGCGATTGTAAGTTTTGTGCAGTTGATCCGTGTAATAGGACGTGGATGAGTTCATACATTGGCTTTGTGTTGAATGAGATATTCCTTTTAGAGAATGTTAGAGCATCTTCAAAAGCCTTTATAAATCTTACTCTCTAAATCAATCATTTAGAGGGTCATTTGCATAAAAATTGTTTTCTATATATTTTCACTCTCCAACAGTTTTTTCTATATCTCATGCGCACTCTAGAGAGTCATTCTTGTCTTTTATTTTTGGCTAGCGAAAAATCCGGAATAGAAGATGGTTATATTTGGATGACCATTTAGAGAAGCTGTTGGAGAGTAGTTTTTCATCAAAATCTTTATTCCTAACATTTAGAAAGGATATTGATAATCTCTTGGAGATGCTCTAATGAGATACTGTGTAAGTGTCTAGGGATCGTATGGGCATAGCTAGTAGGGGGGAAACATTCAGTCAAATAAGTCAAAAGTGAAGTATTTGCATACCCCCCCTTTTTTTACACAACCTGTTATTAAAAATAAAATGCCGCTTAATAAAGATAAATGCATATGTAAATTGAGCATAGCTCAGTTAGGCCAAACTATTTTTTTAGTGGTAAGTAAGTTACTGTGCTTCACGAAAGGGTGAATATGTGTGAGTTGAAGCAGAACTTGCTCTGGATGGCGGGTGGGAACGAAATGGCCAGACCTTTAGTTTTGAGGAAGTGCTTATTTTAACACACCAATGTGATGTGCGCGTCCTCAGCTCTAAGAAGTGGACGAACCTTTGGTCCTTTGTGCGTCTTTGATGTTCGCGATACATAAATGTGTGAAAATTCTCGCGTGTTTGGAGAAAAGATAACAAGGGCGGGCAAACCGGTTTGGTTCACTAGCTCTCGACTGTATTTTTTAAGCACGTGAGTTGCCTCTATATTAAAACAGGTACAGCTTACTACCTTTTCCTTCTGGATCAATCATGCAACTAACCAGGGAATCGAACAATACAAAATAAAAAAAATGATAAGAAGACACAACCAAACCAACCAACGAAACCACCCGCTAACAATAACGACAAAGATCGAGTTTTAAAAGAATGGGCTGCGCCAGGCCTGCAAGTACGAGTACAGATACCGGCGGTCGGTCGTGTTGGCCTGCTGGGAGTTGGAACGCAACCATACAAAAAGATCGCCTAGCTAGCACGTACGATCCCGATCCCGATCCCGTCCACCATCGATCGATCCATAACCCGCCCTACCATCCATATAAAACCGAGAAAATTAAACAAATACTAGCAGCACACATCACTCTAACATAAACAGTCTAACTGCTGCCCTACCGATAAGAACGGGGGGCCGGTTTCGTCCACCAGTTGTTGGCGCGTCCCCGTCGGCCACGGCTAGGCAGGCTGCGTCGATCGATACACGTCGATGCGCACATCAGCGATCACCGACGCCATATGATAATCGTTTAAAAAAACACAACCACATGTTTTATATAGTTTTAACACATGAATTTTTTTCACCATAGGATTAAGATCCAACAGCCTCTATCCTTCTTCTGTCTCCGGCCTCCAGCAGATCACATATCACAAATTTTTTTCTATGGAAGAACAAATCACAGATCCGCTGTCGCCACCGCCACTGCCATGGCCGCGGGAGCGCCGGTGGTCACCGGTGAGAAAGAGAGAGGAAGAGAGATAAAAAAATCTATATGTTTTTTTTAAACACATGTTCTGAATTAAAAAAAACCCCATATGATACGTTTCACGTTTCACGTTTCACGTTTCACGGAGCTTTCACCCGCTAACCAACCGACCCCGGCCCCGGCCGGCATCACCAATGATTCAAGCACTCACTCCAGCTAATTCCATCACCTGCCGAATTAGAGTAGCGATAATTAACCTCCCGGTCCCGGGCTACTACCCCCCAAAAAAAAGTCAAAAAGGCGACGCTTCCCCAACCTTCACCCACCTCGAAGCCACGCCCACACGAACAGAGCCGCTGCCTACTCGCCTTTATATGCCCTGCCACCGCGCCGTGCCTCCGTGTCCTCTACCTCGCCACTTCGCCAGCGACCGACACCTTCTCTAGCTCCAAGGCTCTCTTCGCCGGCGAGCGTCGTGCTCCTTGGTCCGTGCGGCGAAGCGACGAGGACGTACGAGACGAGATCGACGCGGGCGGTTTCGATTTGCTCATCGTCATGGGGCTGAGGAAGCGCCTGCTGGGGTGCTTCGGGGCCGGCGGCGGCGAGCAGGAGCAGGGGCATGAGACCGCGGCGGCGGCGGGCAGGCGCCCCGGCGGGAAGCCGACGCTGCGGCGGCTGAGCACGGCGAACCTGCGGTCGCTGTCGCTGCAGGACCTGTCGCGGAAGCTGGAGACCACCAAGCTGCACGCCTTCACGCTGGACGAGCTCAAGGCCGCCACCAAGAACTTCTCCACCACCAACTTCCTCGGCGAGGGCGGGTTCGGCCCCGTCTACAAGGGCTTCGTCGACGGACGCCTCCGCCCGGGGCTCCAACCGCAGCACGTCGCCGTCAAGTACCTCGACAGCGACGGCGTCCAGGGACACCGCGAGTGGCTGGTACGTTCTTCCCATACAGTTTCCATCTTGTTTACCACTGCTACTTGCGTGCTGATAAATCTGAATCGAGTCCTGATCTGGTTGCGCTGTCTTGTCCTGACCAGGCGGAGGTGGTGTACCTCGGGATGCTGAGCCATCCGCATCTGGTCAAGTTGGTGGGCTTCTGCAACCAGGACGACCACCGGATGCTGGTGTACGAGTACATGCCCAGGCAAAGCCTCGAGA